TATAGAATTAAAAGATATATATAAAAAGTTATATTATCAAATTTCCTGTTTTATCCATATATAAATAAAATCTCGACTATTCTATAAAACAAAAATAATTTTTTGGAAAAATCTTTAAATAAAACCTCAAAACTTTAGTCTTTCTTTCAATTCTATAATTTTTTTTTCGCTAAAATAACATTAGAAAAGGAAATTTCTGACTCAGAAGTAATACCGTTTGTTATAGAATCAAATTTATCTGGATTCAGCTGCTAAATCCTTATAAAAATCTCAAAATGGTCGCACCAACTATTGCTTTTTCTCGTGAGATTCTTGTCTTAAAGCACTCGAGATTGAAAAAAGCCTATTTCGATAACAGTCATTCATCAATTGGAATTTAGATTTTCCCCCCTCCTCTCAGCTTTTTTTATCTTTAAGTTAAAACACTCAGAAAATAAATCATTTTTAAATATCGGTTAATGAAATATAAAATCAAACATATTACGATATTATATACAAGAATAATTCTTGATGAATTATAAAAATTATAGGCCTACATGAAAATAAAATTAACCCAATAAAATTATACATAAAATAATTTTTTAATTAATAAAAAATAAATAGCTTTAATATTAATAAACGTATCGAAATATTCATATTTAATATTTTAATTTATTTTATTTAAATATTAATGTTTTTTTCTTAAATTTTTTGTCATCTGAAGACTCATTACTGGCCAATTATTTTCGTCCCATTGAAACAGAAATTAATAAATTTATTTTTAATAAATTATAAAACTGATATTTTGAAATTTAATTGATGAAACATTCTATTTTTAAGTTTTAAAACATCTCGATAGTCGAAAATTTGAAGCAAGTAGTTTTTTTTTTTTTTTTTTTTTTTTTTTTTTTTTTTTTTNTTTTTTTTTTTTTTTTTTTTTTTTTTTTTTTTTTTTTTTTTTTTTTTTTTTTTTTTTTTTTTTTTTTTTTTTTTTTTTTTTTTTTTTTTTTTTTTTTTTTTTTTTTTTTTTTTTTTTTTTTTTTTTTTTTTTTTTTTTTTTTTTTTTTTTTTTTTTTTTTTTTTTTTTTTTTTTTTTTTTTTTTTTTTTTTTTTTTTTTTTTTTTTTTTTTTTTTTTTTTTTTTTTTTTTTTTTTTTTTTTTTTTTTTTTTTTTTTTTTTTTTTTTTTTTTTTTTTTTTTTTTGGATAATGACGTTCTCTGAAAGGAATGAAGGAAAGGAATACTCGTTATGCGAAAAATTCTATATAACGAGCTCTCATTTAATTTTAACAAGAGAATATCAGACTCATTATAGTTACTGAAATGATCAGGATCATGATCTTTCTAAAATAATATATTATTAATAAATAAACTTTCGAAATATTTTCAAATTTGATGATACATAGTATAAGTTTTAAATTAAAGTTATAATTAAAATTTATTGAATTCTGAACTTAATATTGTCATAACTGAAGTCGATTCTAATTTTTTATTTAAGTTAAATTTTTAAACTTAATTTTGTTATATTAAATATATTATTATTTATTTTTATATCTTACCTGCGTTAAGTTTAATGCATTAAGAGGTATACATTGCTCTTCGACTTCTTCAACAGCACCAATTTTCTTCTTCATTTTTTCTGCTTGCTGAGCCAAGTAAAGATCTAAAACGGGAATACCCTTCCAATTTACATCGTTTTCTTTTAAAGAATTAACCATAAGCATAACCCAAACTGGTCTTTTATGTTCCCAGTTTCTTGTTATAGCGTTGAATAGATTGTCATCAGATTTGTAGTTTCTTCTATGTTCAAAATTAGTCCAAGATGGAATATTTTCCTTTATGCGATCTAAATATCTTTTAAGTCTTTGATAAATATCGTACGGTAGAATTTCTGACAAATTTTTTCCTTGAGGTAACATCTGACACTTAGCTAAAGTTGATATAGTGTAAGGATCATTCAAGTCCAGTTCGAAATACACATTATCTGATAATTGAAAGGCCTCTTTTGCATTTTCTGGTATATAATCCCAAACTTTAGTGTATGGAACGTGAACAGTTCCAAAAAAATAGGATGGCGGATTCTTATTGATTTTCCAGAGAAAAGAAAACGGATAATCGTTCTGTAATATTAAATTTCATATATAATTTAGAAATAATTATAATTCTAAATTATTTTTATATAAAAGTAAAAATAAACAAACTTTAATTTATACAAATTATTAAATTTTCTGTTATAATTCGCCAAATTCTTATGGTGGTATTATTTTTATTTTATTTTTTACACTGTATTTAATTTTTAAGTTTTATTAAATAATAATAACTAAAGATGACTCGGATCGAATAGAAAAAAAACTAGAATATATTTCACGAAGAAAGATTGTGAGAAATCAGGAAAGGTTGAAAGGCTTTGAGCCAAAGCCTTTGACTAACAATGTGTTGGAATAAGAAACGAATGATGATAATACTGTAAATAATTTCTATATGGAACCATCACTTGGGGACGTTTTTATTAAACTATTTTAATAATGTTATACACTATAGGATCGGATTGATGGGATAAGGCAACACAACACGTGCAATCTGCTAAGGAGAAATGTCTCTCTAGAGAGCTTTTTAAAAGAAACTGATCCCTATATAGGTGTCAGACACTATGTAAAAACTAGTGCTAGACACATGAAAACCCAGAAAACTCCACGTGGTCAGATATGAGTTCGCGAACCAATATTCAGAGCTTTTCTCCACTCATCCACTGGTTGAGCTAATGTTATAGTCAAGTGGTATTATCTATAGGGGAGATCGGGGCAACTTCGGCATGCGGGGCAAGTTTGTCAAGCGCTTTTTTTAAAAAACAAATTAAAAGGAGACTTTGGTTATAGGTTAGGCAGTTGAGTTTTATTGGTGGCTTGTTGAGTGTAGTGTTTTTATTGTTCTCCAACAAGCGTAGTTGAATTATCAAGCAAATTTTCATTTTCGTTCAATTCCATATAATATTTTTTTTCCATTTATATTGAATTGGCAGGTTTTGTTATAATTCCATGATAACGAAAGTTACTTTTCCTGTTAGAAGGATGTAACTTCAACTTATTCACGTGGCCAGATCGTGGCTTGGCATTCTGTTCTCAGGGTTGTACTTAATGTTTCGAAATCATGACTAGCGGGGTAAGATCGGCAACATAAAGCCACATTAGAAGCAAAGGATAAAAATCAAACAGATGATAAATGAAAACATGTTTGCATTTGTTATTCATGTATATATGTCTTTGAACTTGCATTTCGTTGTAATAATATTAAATGGGTGTTGGATTTGTATTTCTTTGTTTTAATAGTGAATTCCAACTTATACATTGTTAATAACATAATTTTATATACGTGCCTATCTTGCCCCATTACTGTTGCCCCTATACCAGGGGCAACTTTAATAAAAATAATTAAAATAATTACAACTTTACAAAAAGAGAGAAGTTGCCGATCTTGCCCCTATACCCGGGGCAACTTCGTCAATTTCTCTCTTCTTGTAAAGTTGTAATTATTTTAATTATTTTTATTTCCAAACTGATTTTAACCAGTTCTATAGTAAGGTAACATTCCAATAGACAATATGCAAAGCTTTTTTTTCAGTTTACAGCAGTATTTATTACACAAAATTTAAGTAAAGCTTAACATGCCGATCTTGCCCCGATCTCCCCTAAGTAATGTATAATTTTTAATGACAAACTGATACGCTTTAAATTTCTTTGCTATTAAAAATATATGTTACAAAGCATATACTGTATTTTAAAATTTAGAATATATATTCTATACTTGTAAATTCATACCATATGAAGAATACTTTTACAGAAGCATACTATGTAATTGATGATACTTAAGAATATCATATTACCACAATTATTTAGGCTTTTTTTTATTTAGTTCGAATAAAAAGATTGAAAAACACAATAAAAATAATTTTAGACACTTAAAAACATAATTAGCCTATATTTTTGGCTTTATTTGTAATGGAAGGAAGTTTGAAAAAGAAGAACAAAACAAGAATTTGAACCTTCTTGGTACCAATTAAACCACTGGTAAGTCTGCTACCCAAGAGATACCATAAAATCATTCTAAACAATATTAATGTTAAGAAATAAAAAACACGAAAATCGAAATTTCCGGAAAGATCTTAAATTTTAATAAAAGTGACGTTTATGTTATTATTGTAATCGGATTAATTTACTTTATAGACTCAAAGGGGTTGTTTCTATCGGCTTTACTACTTTGGCAATTGTAGAACTTCATCAGAACATCCCACAAATATAATTTGGATTGTCGTTAAATTTAATGTTTCTCTCAGCTGTCAGTACTTCAAAGTTTTATTATGCCTCTTCGTCTAAGAATTATTATAGGAATTGTTGATAAAGTGAAATCAAACGCAAATTAATTCTTAAATGTTATTTAGCAATCATTTAAATTTTGTTATTAATTGAAAATAATAATAACAATTAGCTGAATCAACTAAATCGACCCGAAATATTTAACTAGAAAATGTTCTTCAACAGCACCAATTTTCTTCTTCATTTTTNGAATACTTTTACAGAAGCATACTATGTAATTGATGATACTTAAGAATATCATATTACCACAATTATTTAGGCTTTTTTTTATTTAGTTCGAATAAAAAGATTGAAAAACACAATAAAAATAATTTTAGACACTTAAAAACATAATTAGCCTATATTTTTGGCTTTATTTGTAATGGAAGGAAGTTTGAAAAAGAAGAACAAAACAAGAATTTGAACCTTCTTGGTACCAATTAAACCACTGGTAAGTCTGCTACCCAAGAGATACCATAAAATCATTCTAAACAATATTAATGTTAAGAAATAAAAAACACGAAAATCGAAATTTCCGGAAAGATCTTAAATTTTAATAAAAGTGACGTTTATGTTATTATTGTAATCGGATTAATTTACTTTATAGACTCAAAGGGGTTGTTTCTATCGGCTTTACTACTTTGGCAATTGTAGAACTTCATCAGAACATCCCACAAATATAATTTGGATTGTCGTTAAATTTAATGTTTCTCTCAGCTGTCAGTACTTCAAAGTTTTATTATGCCTCTTCGTCTAAGAATTATTATAGGAATTGTTGATAAAGTGAAATCAAACGCAAATTAATTCTTAAATGTTATTTAGCAATCATTTAAATTTTGTTATTAATTGAAAATAATAATAACAATTAGCTGAATCAACTAAATCGACCCGAAATATTTAACTAGAAAATGATGTAAAATCTTACGAAATGATTAAATATCTTTAAAATTATATCAAAATTTAGTTTAAGATCACTTTAAAATTAAAAAAAAATTAATTCAAAACTATTACAGGAAATTTAATTGTAAAATTAAATTTATAGGCTATAATATTAAAATAATTTATTATACTTTTATTTAATTTTATATTCATATTTAATGTTTAATAAATTACATATAATAGGAATATTATGTGATACTGTAATTTTAATTTTTTTTAAATTTTGTAAGAAATTAATCTTCAAAAGAATAAATGAAGAGAAACACTTCTAAATAAAATGATTAGAGTTTAATGTCTACATTATACATTGAATACACTACGTTACTTCAAATTTAAGCTGCACTCTCATTATTAAAAAAGGATTTTCGGGAAAAATTAAAATAATAATTAAAATTAAATGCAGTTTAAAATAATTTATTAAAGATTGCAAACATTATTAAAACATTTAAAATGTGATATAATTAACAGAAAGTAAACAACAATCGTTATTTACAGGTTTTGGAGAGTGACAAAGAACAGATAAAGTGTAGTTAGGACAGACAGAAAGAGCATATGTCTTCCCTTAACCAAAATATATGTGTATAAGTTTCTTTTAGAATTATCTACGAAAAAATTCTTTGCAAAAACCTGTATTTGCAATGCCTTCTAATGATTATATCAGACAATACTCCAAATTTAAAGTTGGGGTACAGTTAAATGGGATAAGAAACATGTAAAAAAATTCATCTTAAAGTGAATGTATTATATTTAACATAAAATATACACTCGCTGCTCAGATATATATAATTACATATATATATGTAATTATACATATCTGTATATGTATATAATATAGGCTATATGTATGTTTAAAATTACTTAAAAAATTTAATTTAAAAAATGTTACAGAAGATCAATATTCATTGATTTCAATTGTTTTTACAATAGAAATCAATATTTATCGATTAAAAAACATTTTAAATTATTGATTAAAATATTATTAAAGTTTAAATGTATAATCAATTATTATTTTAAATTTTAAAATCTAATGTAATAAATTATCCTGTAAAATCTATAACTGATTCTATTTTAGTGTAAATAAAACTTATTTTTAAGAAAAGAAAACTCTTCTCTTATTATTAAAATATAATTTAAGTTTGATAAAATTGCCTTAATTTATTGACATAAATTTTATTAAAAAATTCATTAATTTTCATAGATTAATTAAAACCTAAAAATTAATTTTAAAACTTGTAACAATCTGTTTTATTTATACAATTCAACTTTTAATCCTCAAATTTAAGAAAATTATGAATATTAATTAAGATGATAATTAAAATTCTTAATTATCATAAANTAAAATTTAAAATAAAAAATATATATTTAAAAAAATTCTATAATTTATTTATTCTATCGTTAGATAATTTTAGCAATTACTTTAATTCTGAATATGGTGACAAAACGTACAAAACACTTTGACTAAATATGTTTTTTTTAAATGATTTTTTTAAAGAGATTTCTGATTGACCCAAATTTAAATTTGTTTATATTAATTGTTAATTTAATTTTTATTAATCTTAATGTTGAATATCCGTGCTGTTGAAACTTCTGAATTACAATATATATTACAAGTAAGTATTGAAATTCAGAAGTTCTCTTCTTCAATGATTTTCCCTAAGGCGAATTGTTTTACAAGAACACTGTATTTAGCCGTGGAATCGTGGAACTAACTAAAGTATACAGCAATTATCTAAGATAATTAATCAAATTTATTCATTTCATAAAATAGATAATATTTTAATTAGTCATTCGACTATAAATTTGAACTCTTGAATAAATTAAACTTTTGAAAATGTTTACGTATACTAAGTATATCATGGAAGCGTTAAAGCATACATTTTTAACATGAATTTCACATAATCTTTAATTTACTGTGTATCTTTAAATTTAACCGTGTTTAAATATAATTAAATTAAGTTATTAAATTGGATAAATGACGTTATTATTGTTTTCGAATTCATTGAGATGCCTCGAATTCTAGTGTACATATTTATGTGTCAAATGCTATATATCCTTTTTAACTTTATTAAACAAATATAGAAAAATTTACAAAGAATTCAATCGAATATTAAGCGTATGAAGATGAAGTCGCGCTATAAATAGAGGGTCATATATGGCAGCTCTTCTCCATTTATTTCTATTTAGAACATCATCCATCCATAGTTCGGTTCCGTCTTTGTGTTCTCGGACAATTTTCTCCTCCGTCTGCCGTTTCTTTTCTTCCTGTTTGCTCTTTCATATAGTATTAGTTTCAATAACTCTCCCGAAAATTTCCTTAGCACACGACAAGTGAAACTTTTCTTCTATTTTATTAAGTAGCAAATAACAGCATTAAGTGATTGATGAAGCTTAAGAAATCGTTTTATTGTTACTTAAAATTGTTTAGAAAATTTCACTCTTTATTGAAATAATTTGTCAAATGAAACAAATTATTTTGATCGAAATATCTAGGATTATACATAAGAGAATTGAAAGAACGAAAAAAACTACACACTGAAAAATAAACTGAATTATTATTATGGTTTATAAAATAATTTTTTGTATGTAATATTAGTATATATATATTATAAAGTTTATTTTAATTTGTTTTAAATGACAATTCCAAATAAAAATTATAATTTTTATTCATTTAGTTTAATACTGTAGTTATAATTAGTAAAATTTTCATTAAGTCTGATTCCACTCGAAATATAATACTTAACCCCCTCTATTTCATCATTCCTTGACCTTTAACTATCAAACTTTAATAGAATCAATGTACTGTACCATATATAAAAATAACTTTGCCAAGTTTCGAAAATTTTGGTTCACCTAATCCTGAAATATAACGCAAAATAAAAGCCGATACACAGACACAAACATACACATAGAATTCTGTAAGGGTATTTTTTTTTTAACATTTCTGGCTTCTCAAATGTCTAAACGTCTAGTAATTCAAAAACTATGTTTTATTCTATCAATATAACAGCCAGAAAAGCAAAATAATCTTAATTAGATAATATATCAATATATATAATGCAATTTGAAATGTATTAAAGAATATAAACGTTAAAAAATTACATGTTCATTCTTTCTTAAATCTGAGATAAAACTTTGTAGAATAAGAAAATTGTATTTGAAATTAAAATTATACTGTATTTATGTTAAAGAAATCTCCAAGTATTTCATTAAAATTACTTAAATTGATCATAATGTTTATCAAATTATTATTTCTGAATATGTCAAAACAAAACACGCAATCGATTTAGCTTTGCAATTCAAAATACCAGCCACGAATATGTTTAATAAGCCAACTGGATGAGTAGAAACAACTGAATTAAAATCACTAACAAATATCTGATTATCTTTGATAACTTTATAACTGAAACAAAGTTTTTTAGAACTGACGTTTCTTGATCTGCTCATTTAAACATAAAAATATCATTATTTTATATCTGGATAATTATCATCATAATCAGTCTCAATTTAGGAAGAAATAAAACTATTGGATACGAAATGCCAACTTTGCAGTTTGATGATCCAAGTTAGATTTTATTTCTTCGTCCTTGTTATATAGATATTAAGAACAAAATTCTCCCACAATCAAATCTAGTATCAACACTATCCCAAGTCTTTACAATTGTTTCTCATTACTCCATTCTCATTATTTTTTTTTCAAGATCTTTCGAATTATCCGGAATAAAAGAAAACTGCAATCTTAATTGGTAATATCTGGTAAACAATTGCTGTTCGATTTACCTTCATTTCTTTTTTTTATCACTTTTCTTCGGAATTTAATTTATTAGTTTACATAAAATCATAACTAATAAAAAAATAATTTTAACAATAATTTATCACTTTATGATAACTAATAAATTAAATTGAAAAATTCATTGAATTGATTTCAAGAAAGTCAGTACTCAAGACAAAAACGCTTAATACGTTTTTTATGTTTTTAATTAATTATTTATTAATATATTTGTATTAATTTCAATAAATAAAATGTAATAAAACTTTTGTATTTTTAATATTGTTAACATATTATATTTTATAGAAACGGATAAAACAATTTTACCGAATTATTTTCGCAGGAAGACTGTTGTTCGTATCCATAAATACTAAATATGTCTTTTCCACTCAACCAAATCTAAAAAAATGAAACATTTTATCAATAAAAATTCCGTAAATAATNTAAAATTTAAAATAAAAAATATATATTTAAAAAAATTCTATAATTTATTTATTCTATCGTTAGATAATTTTAGCAATTACTTTAATTCTGAATATGGTGACAAAACGTACAAAACACTTTGACTAAATATGTTTTTTTTAAATGATTTTTTTAAAGAGATTTCTGATTGACCCAAATTTAAATTTGTTTATATTAATTGTTAATTTAATTTTTATTAATCTTAATGTTGAATATCCGTGCTGTTGAAACTTCTGAATTACAATATATATTACAAGTAAGTATTGAAATTCAGAAGTTCTCTTCTTCAATGATTTTCCCTAAGGCGAATTGTTTTACAAGAACACTGTATTTAGCCGTGGAATCGTGGAACTAACTAAAGTATACAGCAATTATCTAAGATAATTAATCAAATTTATTCATTTCATAAAATAGATAATATTTTAATTAGTCATTCGACTATAAATTTGAACTCTTGAATAAATTAAACTTTTGAAAATGTTTACGTATACTAAGTATATCATGGAAGCGTTAAAGCATACATTTTTAACATGAATTTCACATAATCTTTAATTTACTGTGTATCTTTAAATTTAACCGTGTTTAAATATAATTAAATTAAGTTATTAAATTGGATAAATGACGTTATTATTGTTTTCGAATTCATTGAGATGCCTCGAATTCTAGTGTACAAATTTATGTGTCAAATGCTATATATCCTTTTTAACTTTATTAAACAAATATAGAAAAATTTACAAAGAATTCAATCGAATATTAAGCGTATGAAGATGAAGTCGCGCTATAAATAGAGGGTCATATATGGCAGCTCTTCTCCATTTATTTCTATTTAGAACATCATCCATCCATAGTTCGGTTCCGTCTTTGTGTTCTCGGACAATTTTCTCCTCCGTCTGCCGTTTCTTTTCTTCCTGTTTGCTCTTTCATATAGTATTAGTTTCAATAACTCTCCCGAAAATTTCCTTAGCACACGACAAGTGAAACTTTTCTTCTATTTTATTAAGTAGCAAATAACAGCATTAAGTGATTGATGAAGCTTAAGAAATCGTTTTATTGTTACTTAAAATTGTTTAGAAAATTTCACTCTTTATTGAAATAATTTGTCAAATGAAACAAATTATTTTGATCGAAATATCTAGGATTATACATAAGAGAATTGAAAGAACGAAAAAAACTACACACTGAAAAATAAACTGAATTATTATTATGGTTTATAAAATAATTTTTTGTATGTAATATTAGTATATATATATTATAAAGTTTATTTTAATTTGTTTTAAATGACAGAAATCATTATTAATTTCGTATTAACTTGAATATTATAGTCAATAGCTATTAGAAAATGTCGTAGAAACGAAATTAAATCGATAGATTAATAAATATTATTTTCTGCTAAAGTTTTACAATTTTATTTCTATTTCCTTCAAACATATTTTAATAAATTTTAAAATGTAAAAAAGGTTAAAGTTTCTAATTTACTCGTTTCTATTTTTATAACCGACATATTGTTATGAGAATGCTAAGTAATCGTAGGCGGATGAGGCAGGAGCCAAAATTTCCATATTAGAAGTAAAAGAAGAAGAAGAATGTTAAGTATTTTTTACGTTNCCCTAAGCTATAACATATAAGAGATAATCTATGCCAAGTAATAATAAATTTCAAAGCGTGAGGCCCTAAAATCTTATAATATACACGAGGTCTAGGCTAGACTTTGTTTAGTTTAAATCCGGTCCTGTCACGAATATGAGAGTGTAAAATATATTTTTATAATGAAACTACGTACAATAGCAAAAACAATACAAAAAGTAATATTTTAATAAATTTTAAAATGTAAAAAAGGTTAAAGTTTCTAATTTACTCGTTTCTATTTTTATAACCGACATATTGTTATGAGAATGCTAAGTAATCGTAGGCGGATGAGGCAGGAGCCAAAATTTCCATATTAGAAGTAAAAGAAGAAGAAGAATGTTAAGTATTTTTTACGTTACTTTTGTTGAGATCAATAGGTCTTAGCTGGGTCGCCTTTTGACCCTGTCGATGAACAGATGTGATAGGTTCTAAGGTAGTAAAGTGTCTTTATGTTGTGTATAACAACTATACAGACTTTTGATATCGTTTCCACAATACATACTTTATTATTTATGTTTAGTCTATTCATCGTTTCTGGATTATCTTACTACATAATTTTTATCATAAAGCTTTTATAGAATGACAGAAATTAATTTAAATAACATGTTTAACACTCTAATTATATGTGATTGTAAGCTCAAATTAAATTTAAAAAAATTTAAAATATACAAGATAAACTGTAAATAAAGTTCTTAAATGTGTAAGCAATTATTTACAAAAATAAAAACTATGGAAGGCTGTCAATAAATTGAAAATGAACGGATATTCGTAGAGACTTGAAAAAGTGAGATAGAGTAAATACAGTACGTCTAATTCTTTCGTAATTGTAAGACTCCATTCTTCAAAAGCTCTAAAAATATATAAATAAAATAATACAAAAACAACTTTTTTTCGCCATTTTAATCTATATCACTTTCGTATATTTTTTACATAAAGAACTAAACTTTGAGATCAATCTATATCCGAGGCTAGGGCCAAATAATTCTGTTGGCACCCTTCATATATCTTGCTTCTGCTTACATCTCTAACATCAACTAATCTTCGCTGAAATTTTTTATCTTATTTTTACAGAAGGTTTCTTATTTTAAGAATATTCTTTACAATTTCCTATATTTATTTCGTTTATTTATGACTTACATATTAGAATTAAATTAAATATAACCAAATTACTATTGATTTTCAATTATAATAAATAAAAATTATTTTTGTATCATATTTAAATTAAAGAGAATCTTTCTAACAATGAAAAATAAGAAAAATGTATAAGAGAAGATAAATATTAAATAATATTTTTAAGTATTATTCTTTTCATCTTCTTTAAATACTATACAATAAAAGTAAAAATAAGAAATCATAAATTTAATGTTTTTATTCTTATTCTAGACTAACATCTTTAAATTAAAACAATAAATATAAACTAATTCGAAAACACAATTAACTTGAATAAACTTCTGAATTTAATACAAAATTTATTGAATATAGCTTTTCAATTAACCTAATTTTGTTAAAAATTATTATCTAATTATCTAAAATGGTAAGAGAAATTTGTAATTAAGAATTTTATTTGATTATTTCATTTACTTATGCACAATCACGGTTATGTATTTTTGATTTTACTCCCTATTTACATAATTTTTTTTATTTAGTTTTTATAATCATTTATGTAGTAAATACGACTAATATAATATTTGTGTAGGCAAATATTTAATAACAATCGGAAATAGAAGAAAAGATCAATATTAGCATCATCGTTTTGTTTCTGTCCAAAAGTTATGATTCTTTCCAAGAGATTTATGTAAAACCAATTATGATTTATTTTTAATAGTGAATTCAGTTCAGAGATATAAAAACAAACATTCAAACAAAATTAATTTATCTAAAGTTACAGTTTTTGAATTTCCAAAAGAATTTAATATTTACTTAGAAATTCATATTCTTCAAAGAAGTTATAACCTTGAATAAGAACTAATATTCCAATTGAATAAGAACTAATAAGCCAGACTAGGGTTTATTCTCGTGTTTTTAAATTTGTTATTTGGTGAAGAATAAAAATCTTGTAATATATAATAAGACCCGATTTAATCTTATTGTGGCCCTAAGCTATAACATATAAGAGGTCTTTTCTCCTTCACTACATAATAAATTAAAGTAATAAATTATCAATATTATTTTTTATATAATTCTGGTATTCTTTAAAACTTAAGCTGTCTAATTTAGGCCCATTTTAACGGATCTGTATTAGATTAAATAGGACAGTTTAAGTACTGTACATGTTATATATAGAATTATCTGTGATTTCTTTAACTTGTAAAGTAATTAAGAGTGTTTGAATTTTTAACTTTCATTATTCATTAAAATCGACTTTCTCAATTAACTGTATTTACAGAATTAATAGAATTTTGTAATACGTTGATTCTACTTTCCTATTTCGGTTTTAAGTAATCAAAAAACAAATTGATTAGTTGATTCCCTTATGTCTTGTGTCATCCTTTTAAACTTTTAAATTTTAAATTTATAAACATCAATATTTTGAAGTCTTGTAAAATAAAATTTTTTAATTTGAATATATTAAATTCTAATACTATTTCTATTTAAAATTTATTCATTTATTTATTATTTAATATTAATTGAAAAATGATGGATAAGTTTGATCAAAGTTTTCGGTATTATCTAACCGAATTTTTATTATTAAGTATATAATCATTAAAATTTTACAAACATTTTTGATATTTTATATAATTTAAAAATTATATTATTATTTAGTTTTATTTATTTATTTTTTCTTGACATTTTTGAAAAGTCTTTCTAAACGGAAAGAACGATGATAGAAATATAATTATTTTAACTCGTTTTAATTATATAAATAAAAATAATTATATGAATTTTTAACCATACAACAAAGGTATTCATTTAAATATAATTGTTAATATATATTATTTTTGTTATATTTGTATACAAATTAAAATGTATAATGATACTGAAATGAAAGTATATAGTGAGATTATTTAACATTATTGATAAATATTATTTAATTAATTTAAAAATGAAAATCATTAGTGATAATAATTTACATCTATTTAATATATTAAATTTATAAAATTTTTTAATTCATACAACTTAAATAATTAACGTAATTTTATATATTAGTTCTATAGAAATGTATCCTTTTGTCGATTTATCTTATGAATTTCGTGTTTTATTATATAATAGAATTATATTAAAGAATAAATCTTTATATTGTAAATTTTGAATTGGATTTTCAGAATTTAAATTATTTTAAATATTAATTAAAACGAGAAAATCTGATATAACATTGTTTTTTTGTGTGTGTGTTATAAGTTATAATTTCTAATATATTGTGGATCTAGACGTTATTCTTGAATGTATTTGAAATTTTAAAGAACGAATTAAAATTTTAAATAGTAAAACTCTCAAACTGAACTTTGAAAATTTCATTAACTTGTTTAAATTATTATGTACTTTTCTTCTGACAAATTACTTTCAAGTCTCCTGAGGAAATAGTTACGTATAACAAGAATCCTCCTCATCAAGGATAAATATATTTGGGAATTAAAAACTAATTAAAAGGTCAGGTAGATCTATACGTAAAATTTTAAATTTTGTTAAAAGTCACAAATATACTGAATCTTTTTAAATCATTTAGAGTATTATTCAGTATCATATTTTTCTATACACATCAAATATGACAGGAACAAATATCAACGTTTACTCGGATATTAGTTAAGTAAATTTAATTAATTCAAATATTATTATATGTAAAAAAACAACTTTAAGTGTAATAACTTTTTAATAAAAATTTTTATTAAATTATAAGTATATTATAATATAAATTGAACAATTTTACATACAATATAACTTATGTTGAAGCGAGTTAAAGTTTAATTTATTAAGGAAAGATAAAATATAATTTTGTTAGCTTAAGCAAGTTTTCCAATTATGTTTTTTGTATCTATTAAAATATAGATGATATAGTACGATGCGTTAAACATTGAATTATCTGATCTGAAATACTTTCCTGAAATTTTGAAATATTAATTCTATTAAATAAAAAAAATAAAAGTATATGCAGTACAACTATGAATAAAATTAATAAGAAATATCTTTCATCTTATAGTTTATGAAATGAAAAATTATGCTTTTTTAGAAGTAAATACTTCGTTAATAATTTTTAAGTTGGAAAATTTGTAAGAAATATAATTGGAAAATATTCTATAAATCTATGGAAATAAAAAAAAAATTAAAAAAATCGTTATAATCACCTATAAATTACTTTAATTAAATAAAGTTAGTGGTTTTATTTGCTATATTTACTTGCTTATAACAGATAATTGACAAGAAAAACGCTCTTAAATTGTTTTTATGTGTGGAAATAAAAAAAAAATTAAAAAAATCGTTATAATCACCTATAAATTACTTTAATTAAATAAAGTTAGTGGTTTTATTTGCTATATTTACTTGCTTATAACAGATAATTGACAAGAAAAACGCTCTTAAATTGTTTTTATGTGTAGTAATCAAGTTAAACTATCAAAAATAAATGATATAGACATGTTTGTTAAAGCGTTTAATTAATTTTTTACAGATGCTTATCTAGAAAATAATTATTAAAGTGTATACTAAAGTGTCAAGTGTAACTTATGTATTTATTAATGTATACATTAATCGATACATAAGTTATAATAAAAAACAGATCAATCTCTTTAAACATCTAAAAAAATCTTTTAAGTTAAAATTCAGTAAGAATAAATTTTTGTCACTAATAAAAAAGAATTTCTTAAATTTTGAAAGATTTAGTTTTTCCTGCACAGAAAATATTTCTGATCAAACATATAAATAAATCTTCTACAATATGTTATAAAGAGTAGCGATTTTAAATATGCTTTATGATCTCAAGCTTTTGGGGACTTTAGACAATTCAAATATATGCTTTTCGATCCAGTATTTGGAATCTAGCTAGGTTTCTAGAATTACAGTATTAAATATCTTGTGATACAAGCTTTACATATTTATAAACTCATAAAAAGAACTTACCAAGTGCACGCTTGCTTAGAGCCTTGCTAACTTAAAATCGCTACTAGGAATAAGTAACATGTATATTTTTTAAACGATCCTTTAGAAACTTATACTTATAAAAATTGTTTTCCAATTAGATTTTTATATATTAAAGACAATAAACTTTTAAACTAAAATTGTTTACAGTAATAGCTTAAAAATTGTCTTAGAAAATAGCATGGAATTCTAAATCCGCGTTTAAAATACATTATAGTAAAAACTAGAGTAATTTTAAAATAGTTTCATTTGTTTTCTAACATTTTCGAATGCATTTAACAACCTTCATGACTAGAAAACTAAATTATTCGTATATAAAAAAAAATATTAAATAGGAAAGAATACAAGAGACGATCGAATTTCTAGTTTCCATCTGACATCTTACACGTGAAAAAAACAAAATACATTTTTAAAACGACTCATTTAATTGCAAGTAAATTAAAAATCATGAATTAATTTCGAAAAAAAAACCAAACATCATAAATTAACATTTATAAACACAAAATATTTTATTAGCAATCGGCATTAAATATTTACTTAAAGAGAAATAAAAGGAAAAATTGTTAAAATAAAGAATTACATTATTAAAAAAGTTTTAAAATATTTGTTTGTAGGATATATACAATTTTGTATACAAATATATCTCGAATTATAATAAATTTCACAATCGAGTGTTAAAGTATATGATGATGAACTGTATAGTACAGGACAGCACGTTCTTTCTATTTTATCGGAATTTCTTTTCTTTTTATAATTTTCTACAGATAAAATATTGATAAAATTGATTTTCGTAGTTAATGTTAAATGCTTAAAAAGTATATTAATGGCATCTAAGCACGGAAAAGGAATCAGAAACTTCATTTCATTTTTATAGGGAATTTTTTACAGATTTAATAATGCTGGAAAGCATTAGCGATAGTAAACATTCATTTCGTAACGAAACAAATGCATTTTTATTTTTCCATGTATTCTATATTTATTATAAAAACACATTTTAGAAAATTATTACCAAAAATTTCATATAAAAGTATTTATAAAATCATAATTTATCACACAAGAACACAATCAAATTTCCTATTTAAAGACATAATAATTGAGAAAACGCAATGTGTATAGTCTTATAAATTTATTAAATAATATATTTTGTATTTAAAATATATTAAGTAAGAATTGCACAATAAATACGTTTAATTTATTAAAATTTATTAACAAGCAAATTAATATTGAACTACTACATTATTTTTAGAATCTTTCTCTGATAAATATAAGGAATGGAGACGAATTATTTAAATTGCTGAAAAATTGTTACCGCATTAATTTTACACTAAAGTTAAATCTTAAGATTAATTTATAATTGAAAAAAAAAACTTACCAATAAAGTAAAGAGTAGAATCGAAGCCATTATTAGAGCATTGAATGTCCAGACAAAATTCTGTATCTGGAACAGGACCTTGATATCCTTCTACTAGAATCATGTTCCCACATTCTCTCCTCTTTGCTTCCTCAAAACTTGGCTGTACTTCTTTACGTGATAAGCATACCCTTTCTTATTGGTCAGAGATTTTGCCTCTCGTGCGCAAGTACATCACTGTCAATGACGTCATAAGTTGTCTTTATTTCAAGTTTCCCATTTCTTAAACTGTAAAAGAAAATCTTAAATTGCATTCTATTGTTGTACAGATCTTCCAGAATTAACGTAATTTTATAATAGAAGAAAGCCTAATAACAATTAAAAAAACAAGGGAGAGTTGAAAAATGTTTTCCTATTGCTTTTTTCACAAAGTAAACAAGTTACAGCACAAAATGTATTGGAAACGTCCTATTTTTCCACATGGATATCATTTGCCATACCTGACAGTTTAACTAGTGGAAAACTGTGGCATAGATAAATGGGTTCTGTGTAGGGTTTCTGAAACGGGATTCCGGGATCCCGGTTGTTTTTTTAACCCGGGAAATATCCCGGGAAATTTTTCTTATCCCGGGAAATCCCGCAAATTTCTTAAAAATTCACTTTTTTTCTTATTTTGTGTTAAGGTTGAGGAGTTTTGCAAATAGAAAGCATAATTAACTCATTCACTGCCAGAATACATTTGTATTTATTAATTTTAAACCTACCTATTAGTTTTTTTAAATTTTTGCTCGTTATAGCATGTCACAAATGGTCAATAATCAATATATAGCTTATTTGTGGCATGACTATAAAAATTCTTTACTTGTCGGAACCTGTAATATCTGGAATAATTGTG